AAAGATGTTAAATAGTTTAGCATCATGTCATGGAGGGATTTACATGTATCAGAAATTATTGGAAATGCACACAACAGAATATTATTGATTGAAATGATACCACACAGTAAGGACAAAAAGAAGAAGGATGGTTCTTCAAAAATTATTTGATTGTATTAATAGAACATTGTATCAGAAAAATGCCCTTCCAGCCAGGGTGGTGGATAGACAGGCTTACTATTTTTTAGTTGTGGCAAGTTTTTGCTTCTCACAATTCTTAGCCGTTCCATTTTCTCCATATGTACACTTAAAGGATGTAGTTCCCCGCTACTGATTTGAGTGTGCAGAGAATTGATGGTGCCCTGTGCAATAAATTGGATGTGCAACTGCTAATCTGCTGGTAGCAGATTGATGACGAAGTGCATCTCTAGTGCTGGACAGTTAGTGTTGTCACTTCCGACATCTGCCTTATGCATTTAATGCATGTTTATGCTGTTGGCTTTGCTGAGACAACTGTCTGTGTCAGTTTTTACACAATGGGACAGCGATGGACATTTTATGTGGTTTCTGTTGGCATGGGGACTGAGCGAATATGGAGTGACCCTTTTGCTATATAGTTGGAACTGCAGTCACCTGATTAACTACATTAGAACATGTTTGCATCATGGCATGCAGTTAGGGCTCAGCTTCTGTAGCACAGGACATTGTTTGCAAGTTACAAACTGATATAGAGAACCTAAAGTTTGTTGATATATGCTGATTTACAAAAAGTTTTATTTGATGGCAGCTTAATCCAGCTTCAAGGCTCAGATGGCTGGATCACTCCTGGATAATGGAGGATGGCACTAAGGACGTGCTCTATGGTAAATTAAAGATGGGTAGAAGATATCGAGGCTGACCTCTACTACAATATAAAGATGTGTGCAAGTGGGACATGAATGATACGGGTATTCAGGTGGACTCATGGGAACAAAATGTCATGGAGGGTGTTGTGTTGAGGGGACACATCAGGAAAATGATTAAGAATGAAGGAAGAAATGATTGCAGAAAGGATGAGAGCCAAGCGTCAGGGAAGAAACAAGACTAAACACAAATGTTGACAACAATGGTCCTTAAATCCCATGCTATAATTGTGGAAGACTTTTCTTAACACGGGCGAGTCTTACTAGTCACACTTGCCATCACCATGGGCTGTGAGTTCCATGCCTCTTCATAGCGCATAGAAAGACGAAAATGTGCCAGTCACTCAATCTTCTTCTTCTTTCGTTTGCTTGAAATAGATTATCTATATCTGCAATGTTGTCTCTAGCATAAACTTCACTGTCTATTGTAATTCACTCAGCGACCCGTAAAGTTTGACTTGAGCTGATGTTTCTCTTGGCAAACAGTTTTGCCTTGGTATGTTGTATTTGGGACAGTCGTTGGGGACATGATCTGTTGTCTCAGGTGCCAATCCACATGTGCACATGGCTGATTCGCCGATTAAAAACGTTGTGTTCATGTGGCTGCAAAGTCGATTGTGTCCTGTTCTAAAGCTTGCTCTGCAGTTTCTCAACTGCGTCAGGAATTTGTGTTTCTGTTTACCTTAATTTTGATGTAAGTTCATAGTCAAGGTCGTCGGATATCACCGGACGCATCGTAATGGTCAACAAAACAATGCTATGTCGGTGTTAAGTACAAACGTTAGTGCAACAGTGATGCCAAAGTCCTATTTACAGATGTACACACATGTCAGGGTGGATAGTTTGATCCCATATGTCAGTACGTTGACCTAGCTTACCAGAATAATTAAAATTAGGTGCTGAAGTCGGAGGCAACCAGCTAGAAGGCGCACCGTAAAAACTCATGAAGACACGCACAAACGCTATAGGAAATATATCTATATCAATCACTCAAGCTTTGTAATTATAGTAAATAGTAAGTATTGCATGTACATAGACTGCAAAGGAGAGAAACCAACAGGAGTGTCAAGAAAGCAAAACAAGCATCCTGGGAACGTTTCGGTGAATCATTAGCAGAAAATGAGAAAACAGCCAGCAGAAAATTTTTCAAAGTAGTTAAAAATATGCAGAAAAGAGATGAAAGCTACAACCCCACTGAAATAATTAATGATAAGACAGGAAGGCCATTGATAGATCCACCCGAGATAGCAGAAAGATGGAGGGAATACTTCAATGAGCTCTTTAATCCTCTAGGAGATCATCAGGAAAGAACAACTGAAGAGCACTGAGCAACAGTGTTAGAATCACACATACTAATAGATGAAATAGAAAAAGTCATTAAGCAGTCTCCCAAATATAAAGCACCAGGAGCTGATAGATTACCAACAGAAATAATTCAAACAGCAGGTGAAAGCAGCATCAGATGGCTTCACAAAATATTTAATGCAGCATGGGTACAACAAACGGCCCCTATTGATTGGCAACATGCAATAGTTATACCATTGTGGAAGAACAAAGGAAGCAAACGAGAATGCGGTCAATACCGAGGCATCTCTCTTTTGAGCCATGTTGGCAAAATGTATGCCAAGATAATAGAAACAAGACTGAGACCAGTAATAGAACCACAGCTGGCAGAAGAACAGATGGGATTTAGGAGAAATAGAAGCTGCACAGATGCAATCTTCACACTTAAACAGTTAATAGAAAAGAACATTGAATACAATAAGAACTTATTTGTGGCCTTCGTAGACCAGTAGAAGGCATTTGACAGAGTCGACAGACAATTATTATGGAAAGTAATGGCAAGATATGGAGTAAGCGAACACCTCATCAAAGTGTGCAAAGGTTTATACAGGGATTGTAGAAGTGTAGTTAGAATAAATCAGGGAACATCTCATCCATTCACAGTAACATCTGGAGTAAGACAGGGGTGTGTCTTATCACCACTGCTGTTTATCACCTACATCGACAGTATATGCAAGAATGCCAAGCCCATGAATGAAAATGTTAGTAAGATCAACGAATTACTCTTTGCAGATGACCAGGCCTTGATAGCAGATACAGCCATGAAATTGCAACAACATCTAATATCCATGAATGAAGAATGTAAAACAAATAATATGAGAATCAACACTGAAAAGACAGAAGTAATGTCAATGGGAAAAAAGAAGACAGATCTAAACATAGCAATAGAGAACAAAGGCATTAAACAGGCATCTGAGTTTAAATATCTGGAAACTACATTTACCGAAGATGGGAAATTGGATAAAGAAATTAACATTAGATGCAGTAAAGCAAACCAAGTATTGGGACAGCTAGCACCCCTCTTACAGCATAAGACAATCCCAATCAGCATAAAGAGACATCTTATTCAAAGCATTTTTATTCCAACTCTGTGCTACCAGTGCCAGACATGGTCACTCACAACAAACCATAAAAGAAAATTAGTAACCATGGAAATGAGATGTCTGAGAAGGGCTGTAGGAGTGACTATAAGAGATAAGATCAGGAATGAGATCAAAAGAGAAAAAGTTGGCACAGAACCAATTCTAAATTACATACAAAGACAGCAAGTGAAATTGTTTGCCCACTTAGAGAGAATACCTTGTGACACCATACCATACAAAGCATACATGGAAAGAGAAGAAAGTCGTAGAGCAAGAGGTAGACCAAGAACAAAATGGAAGGATAACATCAGAGAAGCTGTATAGCAGCACGATGTGCCTATGGTCGAGGCGGCCAGAAACAGAACCTTATATCTCCCTCGACACCCACAGCGGTAAAAGAGGAAGTGAAGAAGAAGAAGAATTGCATGTACAAAAATATAAAAATAAATATTTCAAAAAATGCTAGACCATATGTGGCTTATATTAATCTAGTAGACAATTATTCAAAATTCATCTAGCCTTTGCTGATTTACCTAAATGAGTTAAGTACTGACATATTAGGACTCGGGACATTCACATAAGTGCTTTACCCCCATATTCAGCAGCCAGCACAGAATCATTGATGGAGCTAAGGAGTGCATGCTCTGCTTTTTATGTCATGAGGAACCATGAAGGACCTGCAGCTGAGATGCAAGTTCGTAGAGTCTTTATTAGTTATCTAAGACTTGCTGCCAAAAAGAAAATGCAGTTGATCAGGTTCGAAATTTTGGTATGTGCTTCCCGCAGAACTCCATCCTTTACTAAAAATTGAACCTGGGTCATCCCATGAGAGTCCAGCACTCAACCATTCAGCCAGCTACTTCTTAAGAATAGTAACTAAAGTATAAGAGTTTAAAGCTAGCTGCTCCATCATAGTGCCGGGTTTGATCCCAGCTGCGGGCCTTGCGCCGGTTTCAACAATGATGTCGAGAAGCCGACCATCCAGAAAGCAATGGTAAACACCCCCTTGTGGGTTCCGGGGCCCTATTATAGGGAAAACAAGAATAGACCCACTGCCTACCCAAAAGCATGTCGTAAGAGTCGATTAATTGGGAGCTTCCTTCGAAGTCGGAGGGCTTCTCCCTGAGAGGCAAGGAATCAACAGTCTGCATTCAAATGCGTCAGATCTGTCAAACGGATGCACACACAACGCTCCGGTTCTGGAACAGGACTGCAGTCCAAAAGTGGACAAACAACTAGAACTTTCCACCAGAGTTTACAGCTATTGAACGCAAATAAGAAGAAGAATGGTATACTACTGGACGTAAATGTGCCTAGAAAAAAACTACAACAGCCAAAAAATGCTGGGGTTAGTTCTGCAAAGTCCTGTAAAGGATACGTAACTGTACGTGTAGTTATTGTACATAATGTAACAAATACGTAGTATGTACTCTGATCTAAAAACTGTAAACAAAAATACAATCTGAAATTACTATATTTTTTTTTTAAATTTATTTTGTGGTCATTAGTGTGAATGGTCGCAAGCCACATAGATCGTAAGTAGAAGCGAAGGTGCATTAACGCAGACTTAAAAGGGCTCTGCACAAGTTATTTGAGGGCATATACTCCATCAGGGAATAAAGGTCATAAGAAGAACTATGAAAACCTTAGCAACTTTTTCTAGTTAAACATTTATATTTCTATGACTCCACAGGAAGAAGACCACACAAAACTGAAAAAGAAAGTTAGGAAAATTAATGTCAAAATTGCAAAGCAGAGGCGCCGAAAAGGGAGCGCTCCAAGATTTCCAAAGCATGATAACCCTAAAATAAAAATTAGCAGTAAAGCTTTTTGTGATGCAGACTTCAGTTCCAGTGAGGTTGATGATGCAGGTGACAGCAAGCTGGCAGACTCAAAAGACACTAATAGGTAAAATTGTGATTTTACCTTGTTTGTACACTACTGTCATACTGGTTATTACATATCTTCTTCTTCGTGTTCACCGGCTGTAAACTCTGGTGGAAAGTTCTAGCTGTTTGTCTGCTTCTGGACTGTAGCCCTGTTCCAGAACCTGAGTGGGTGTTGCATGCACATCCATTTCACAGATCTGATTTATTTGTGTACAGACTGTTGGTGCCTTGCCTCTTAGGCAGATGTACTTCTACTTCGAAGGAAGCTCCAAATTAGTCAAATCTTGTGACATTCTTTTGGTAGACAGTGGGTCTATTCTTGTTTTCCCCCACAGTGGGCTCCCAGAATCCACATGGGCAGTTATTACACATGACAGTAGAGGAGATCAGAAATTCTCATCCACTGTTTCAGCAAATAAACCCTAGCAGTTGTTTGTTGTCTGTCGTGTAGCATTAACCAGTGTGACCGGAGAGTCTGGCCGGCTCACCACACTCAGAGGAAAGGCAAGACAGACATACAACCAGTACTATCAGTTTTGGATCTATGCACTAGCTGCTGAAGGTGGGGACGGAGCATGTGTGGGAATGCTGTGATGTCAATTCCTGACTCAACTCAACTCTGTAGTGTAGCTAGGTACTTTAAACTCAGTAGTATGTCTTTGCTATCTGAACAGTCGACTTTCCATCCCTTTGTCTAAAACAGTGCAAAGGGGCCTGCTGTCAAATTGTTTGCAGCTGAATTGAACTAGGTATTTTAAAATTACAAACCGCATCTGTAACCCTTAATCCACATATGCTGATACAGATAGATAATACTCAAATGTATTTATTCATTATCCTGTTGTCCTTCACAGTGATTCTCATTCTATTGTGTTAAATTTTTCTTTTTAAGGTAAAGATTAGTGGGAACATTAATGAATATAACAATATTATGATGGAGTTCTAAACACAGTTAGACACATTGTGTTCTGTTTACAGCTTAGCTGTGATATCTGCCCCATTCGGCCAAACACATCCACCTTGAGTGGATTCTAGCCGCCTGTTATGAGATGCTTGCTAAGGAACAGTGGGTCTTTTCTTTTCCCCCCAAAATGGCCCACAAGAATGCACACAAAGATAACGATAAGATCATCTGGGAGCTTTTTCAATATAACCTGATGCAGTGTAGTTGATTCTTGTGAGTAACAGGTAACCAACCTGTCAGGTGTAGATTAGTCTGTAAACATATTTGGTCTGACTGACTGACTTTCTACCCCACTAGGACATCACACAAGCGATAAACACCCGATGACACAAAGTGCCACCATGTGGATCGCCGTGGAGAGGTCCCAGAAACCGCGTTCAGACAATTGGCCATATTTATGGCCTGCCTATATTGCGGCCCTTGGTAAAAGCCAGGGTGGGGCTTCAAATAACAAAAAATTTCATCCTAAAAAGGACAAAACTGGATATCTCTGACATATTGGTCTAGCAGTGCATGCCTTAAATACCGATTTCATGGATGCACAGGGTTCTCTACTGTTTGTAAACATCTGAGAAATTTCTTATTTTCACTGTTTCATAAAGAATACACTTTGGTTTCATTACATTACAGCTCTCTTGGCAGTGGTTCTACTTGTGAGCAGACGGTGGAAGATGTACAGATGTCTGATGATCAGCAAAACCCAGGTGTATCTGAGGCTGACCAAAGCTCAGATGGGGATCTCTTTAGTGATGACTGACAACAAATGTGATCAGTCAGTTGACTGACAACAGATGATGTAATTCATTACTTCAGTCTGAAGATCTTCAACGAAAATTGAAAGTAAAATGTTATCTCTTCAGGTGGCTGAAAACTTACATGGTCTCTTGATTTGACTAAAACACAGATGTGGTCAATCAGTTGACTGATAACAGGTGATATAACTTCAATTGACAGAAGTTTCTGTCTGAAGATCTTCAGCGATGATTGTAAGTAACGTGTTAGCTGTTGAGGTGGCTGAAAACTTACCTGGTCTCTTGATTTGACTGAAACAGATGCAGTCAGTTAGTTGACTGACAACAGGCGTTATAACTTCAATTGACAGAAGGTTTTGTCTGGAGATATTCAACCATGGTTAGAAGTAAAATGTTATTTTTGAGTTGACTGTGATTATAAACATATGTGATATTTTAAGCTTGCTGAAAATGAAACATGTGATGGCTTTCAGAGAAAGCAGATGATATATGTTGAACTGACTTACAGCAGAAGGTTCTTACTCTAGTAGTGACACACACACACACACAAAAAAAGCTTTGACAGAACACAGTATGATCTCTTGAATTAACTGAACAGGGTGTGATCTTGTTGGGCTCATTTAGAATGCATGAGGCAAGTAACATAATCTTAGAGGGGTGCATAAGTAAGCATTCTCTATAGCAAGGATGAAAACAAACATAAGACGTTGCTGACAGGCAAAGAATAGTGGTTTATTGAAATGCCCCACAAATGCAAGCTGATGAAAAAGCTTAATCAGCTGACCTTGATTAACAGTCAGATAACATTTATCCACCACGAACCAGCTAAACGATCAGAAGCAAGCTGACAAGTATGAGTTCAAGTAAAAATGCAAATCCATGACTGCTGTCCTGATTCATGCCTCTTCAACACCTGAGCCATTATTTCAGTGGTTAAGAAAACATTACCTCCAGGAACCTGCTGTCCTCGTTCACACTTTCGAAACCCGAGCCTTTATTTCAGCAATCAAGAAAACTTCACCTGCAGTCTAGAGAACAGAGCTTTTCGCTCTCCTGCGTTTATGGCGTTTTAAATACAAGCAGCCTGTATAGTGCAGCCTTCGTCAAGTTCAGAGTTAACCTCTCACCATTAAATGTTTTAAAAACATGGGGGGGAGAGACCAACTTATGCCCATGTCTTCTGTGTGCACTACACCCGGACAAAAATTCATAACTGTCTTCAAACAGCACATAGATAACTGATGTCCTGTCTGCGATGTCTTTAACCTGTTCAGAAAGTGTAACATTGAGAAAGATTACACATGATGAATCTCTTGAATTGATGGAAATATGATGTGACATCTTGCATCGACTATAAATGACTGAAAATGAAGGTTGTGATATTTTGAGTTGACTGAGTGATCTTTTAAATTGACTGAAAATGAAAGGCCTAATCTCTTGAGTTGATAGAAAAGAAATGTTCTCACTATAGTTGTCTGAAAATTTAGGATTTGATTCAAACAGAAAAGATCTCTTTAACTGACTTTCAGTAGAAGGTATGTCCTGTAAGGGTTACAAAAGGCAGATTTTATGATCTGTGATGTAACTGAAAACAGGGTGTGATCTGATTAATTTATAATATCAGATGTGATCTTGTGCATTATTATGTAAAGGGTCATTTTCACGACTGCAGGTTTATTGCCTATATCCCTTTTTAATAGAGCAGTCAGCACTCTCCTCCTTTATTTGTGCAAAGTCATTTCCTTTGGACTTAATTTTGTTGTGTCTGTTTACAATAGAGCTGCTGTTTTTCATTTGAGCAAAAACAACTGACTATAGAATATTTTTCCTTTTCAGGACATTGCAACCCAACCCCGTTATTTTTTTTTGGCTGTTTGTGGTGGCTTTTCCTCCCAGGCAATTTTACATTCTTCTTCGTTCACTGGCTGTAAGCTCCAGTGGAAAGTCCTGGTTGTTTGTGCAACTGAACTTTGGCTTTGTGCATCCATTTTACTGGCTTATTTGTGTGCATCTGGTTGTTCCTTGCCGCTCTAAGTCTGACTTCAGTGAAGCCCCCCAGTTAGTCCACTCCTGTGACATGCTTATTGGGGAGGCAGTGAGTCTATTCTTGTGTTCCCTACAACGGGGCCCTGGAACCCGCACAGGGACATTTTACATTGAGTAGTTTGCCATTGCTGTCTTATGGTCAGCTCTGCATACAATTGTTTAAATTAACACACAAATGCCTGCTACCAGTTGCCTGCAGCTGAATCGAATTGGATATTTTGTTTGTAATTCTTAAGCCACACAGACACTGACACATTTGACTTTAAAAGGTGGAACTGGTCCTGATTTCTCTAAACCATTTAATAGTAAGTGTAGGATTCCCTTTCTTGCCATTGGCCTTCAGTGAGTGATGTAGTCAACATCACGCCAGCCACATTTATTTCCACCACTTTACCTTGCACCCATTTGTCAAGATCATTTGAAAAAAGGGGGGGGGGGGGGGGGGATTCCTACTCAGTGCGGTTTCAAACGCAAGACAATCAGACCGGCAGACAGAGCCTAGTCTAAATCTTTGTGTGGCGGAGAAATATGGTAAGAAGAGGGCAGAATAGAAAATAAAACAACAAAAGAAGGCATTTACTTTCTCTTTGTTGTATTGGGTTGGTTTACAAAACGTAAAGTCGGGCATACTGAAATCAGAACATGGAAAAAATGTATCAGTTCTTGACAGGCATGTGACATGTGTGTATGTTGGAAATATTTAGTATGAAAACATGTTCTAAACAGAATGAAAGTAGAATGTATAGTGTATTATAGGTAATTAAGTGTGCTCATGTCTTATGTTTATTTGTTCATCAGTAAAAAGGTATCAGAAATCACCAGGCTTTTTTTTTTTCTGGGACAAAAGGTGCCAGTACTCACCATAGAAGTCTTAAAAGTGCCAGTACTCACCACAAAGAACTTATTGCAGTAGTGCTGAAAAACTAAAGCTTTGAAAAGGTGCCAATAAAAAAAGTTGAATTGAGAATCAACATCATATCACTTGGGACACTCCCATAAGTGCTCCTTCCCCAACTTCAGCAGCAAGTGATGAGTTCCAGTTCCGATGGTACCAGTAACTGTCTGACTGTACATCCGTCTCGCCTTTCCCTTGAATGTTGAGCGTCGGCCAGATCCTCTGGTGTGTCTAACCTTGTCTTGCCATCTGTACCCAAGTTTTCTTCTAGACACGGCATATGAGAGCTATGAAGTCGTTTCTTCTGCCATAAAATTACCCAGGT